AGCAGAAAAACAACCAAAAATAAGTGGAAAAAGCAGCAAAACCATGAATAAAAACGTAAAGTCAGGTTAATATACTGTAGGTGGAACTAAAGAATTGGGGGGCCATGGAGGTCACCTAGGGGGTGTCATGGTGGTTAGGGGGTTCTGATGGGTTGGAAACTCCCTGACCAGCTCCTTTGCTGAGTCATGGTTTCTCCAGGCTAACAACAATGGAACCCCTCTCTCAGACCAGCCGTCCTCATTGGCCAGAATGTGGACATTGTTGCCAGTTGTTTTTTCCCCCCCTTATTCTTTAGTTCCACCTACAGTATACTTATTTTATTATAATTTTTCTGCTTTTTCCACTTTTTTTTTCATTGTTTTGCTGCTTCTTCCACTTATTCTTGGTCGTTTGGCTGCTAACCCCTCTCTCTGACCAGCCATCCCCAACAACTGGACGCTCGGCCTGTCCCCTCACAGCTGGAGCCGGCCGGGGTGATGTCATCCTGTGAGTGGAGCGGCTCAGCCTGGGTGGGCGGGGGAGGGGGGGCTGCAGGGGGGGGGTTCCCGGTGGCGCCCGGTGCCGGCGGCGGTGATGTCACAGCTCCGCACAATGCCGGCCCTCTCTCTGCGGCCTGTAAATGGGCTCCTTCACCTGGTTCCCACGTCCAGCGTGATGTCATCGTGACCTCACCGCTGACATCAACCCCCCCCCCGCGCTATGTGCCCGTCCGCTGGACTTCATTCAGTCCAGAAGATGAAGCAAACATGCATGTTTTCAGGTTTGAAAGATTTTATCAAAAGTCTTTTAAATAAAAAAATGTTGTCTTTTTTTTACTATCATTTTTTTAAAACATTTGATCTATTTTAAACCCATTTCACACCCGTTTTACTCATTTTAAACATTTTGAATCCGTTTAGCCAGCTTAATGCTCCTTAAGTATTCCCAAAATGTGGTAAAATTGTTACACGAAGAAACTGTCCAACTCCAAATAGTGTGGGGAAAATAAAGTTCCACATTAAAGGTCTTTGCCCTATTCCTGAAGGATCAGGTGCTCAGCCACCCAACAGCAGCTTTCCTTCCAACAACACATTTCTAAATCAGAACATGGAAGCTGACATTCAGTCTGGTGTGTCCACGTGTCAGATCAGACTTCTCTGATCTGAAAGCTTCTTTAACACCAGCCTGCAGCACCACTCTCCACCAGCAGAGGTCACTGCAGCCTGGCCTCCAGGACCAAGCCGTTCTGGGGCAGGTGGCTCCAACTGACCAGTGCTAGCTGGAGCCCTCGACTCCTCTGGCGGTTTTTGTCTATTCCTCAGAGTCAGCTCAAACTAAACAGATCAAACTGAGCTGCTCTTTAAAAATGTAAAACCAAAAAACCCACAAGCAGCTTTTTGCCAGCTCAAAACATCTCACTAGAAAAACAAAAGGTAACAAAACCAGAGCGCAGTTTATTACCAAATCAGTGCAGCTAATTTACACATTTCAGCTTCTGGGAGCCCAAAATGGTTCGTCTCACTTAAAAGGCATGTGAGAGACAGACCTCAGTCTTCTGCCTGGATATGAGGCCCTCAGGCTCCACGAGGTGTTCAAGGAGCCTCAAATCTCAGATTCTGGAGCATTTCTGGAAAGAAAGAAAAAAAAAAAAAAATACCCCAAGATTGTATGAAAAACTCTAAAAATCTTTATTTAAAAAGTGAGCTTCCTCAGCAGGTCTGAAATAAAGTGCAGGTCGGGATGGGGTCAGGTTTTGACGGGGGCCCGGTTCCCCTCAGGAGCCGGTGAGCAGCGGCGCGGCCATTTCCTCCAGGAGGGGCGACTTGAGCTGGGGGAGGAGGCTGACCCGCAGCAGCCGGCTGCTGGAGAACTTGTTCCTTACGGCCTGCGGAGGTCAGGGGTCAGCCCAGAGGTCAGGGGTCAGCCCAGAGGCTCAGTTCCGGCCCCAGTTCTGGTTCTGTCCCTGGGCAGCACTCACCTGGAAGCGGGTCTGGCCGGTGTGCAGCAGGACCAGGCTGCGGGCCATGCGCTGCATGAGGGGCTGCAGGTGCTGCTGGTCGTAGGAGGAGTAGTGCTGCTGGACGGGGGACTGGGGGGGGCAGAGGTTTGATGTCATCCATCAGATGTTAAGTACCATCTGCCCCCCCAGCATCAGGAAAACAGACCGCAGCAGGAACGGGGGGGGGGGGGCACTCACCCAGGGCGTCCCGGTCAGCAGCAGCTGGGAGAGGCAGAGCGAGGCGGCCGCCACCTCTGAGGGCCGACGCTGGACCAGACCGTAGTCCAGCAGGGTCAGCTCCATCAGGTACTTAGCCAGGGAGTGGGTCTCCACGTCAGCCTGGGGGGGGGGGGGAGGGAGGGGGGTCAGATTTGGTTCTCCTACTTTTGGACCCCCACCAGGACCAGAGTGAGTCCCTGAGCTCAGGTTTGACCAGCTGTTCTAACCCTGCAGACCCAAAAACTGCCCCCATGTGGCCGTCAGCTTTAAACTGGGGTGGGGGTCAGCTTTACACTGCCCCCCAGTCTTTGAGTTCAAACGACCCCTGAGATTTAAGAAAATAAATAAGACTAAGAGTAAAGACAACTTCTAGAAGTTGAAAAAGCCTCCGAGTAAAGATGACCGTCAAACCTACTGGACAGCTTTAAACTGGGGGGGGGGGACTCACCCCGGCCACCTTGGAGGCCCTCCGGAGGAAGTGCAGGGGCAGCGGGCGGCCCAGCTGGAAGCTCAGGCTCCTCAGCAGCTGCTGCTCCATCTCCAGGATCTGCGCCCGGCTGCAGGCGCCGTCCGTCACGTAGGCGAAGTCGCCCACCTCCGGGGCGAACATCTCCTCGTACTTACAGGCCACCAGCATGGCCGTCACCCCCACCAGCTGCAGCTTCCTGCGGGACACCGGCTGCACCTGAGGGGGGGGGGGGCGCCCGACACACGGAGAGCGGCAAGAGGCAGAATTTTAACCCCCTGAAGGTAAAAACGACTCCTGAAGGCTAATGTGACCCCTGAGGGTTAAAACAACCCCTGAAGGCTAATACGACGCCTGAAGATTAATACAACAGAGCGCGCCCCCCCCACCCCCGCCTCACCTGCAGGAACCGGTCCA